TGGTGGTATTTATCTCCTTTTTTCCCCCCCTCCCTCAAGTGAGTTTAAACCCTAAAAATAGGTTGTTTTTTTTTTTTCCCCTTCAATTTAACCCCCGAAATGACAGGAAAGGGAAAATCTCCTCCCAATTTAAATAAAAAAAAAAGATGTTTAAATTAAAACCCTCAAAATAATGGAAAAAAAAAAAAAAAAAAGCTGCGTTTCCCTCGATTTAACCCCCCTTTGAAATGAGGGAAAAACCGGGGGGCCTGGCCCTCCATTTAAATCTCAAAAGGGGTTCCTTTACGAAAAAATCGAGAAAAGAGGGGGTTTTTCCCTCAATTTAAATATTCCTAATGAAGAAAAAGGGGGATTTTCCGGCAGTTTAAACCCTAAAAATTTAGGAAAAAAAGGGGGATCCCGCCTACATTTAAACCCCCAAAATGGCGGCCGCGGCGTGAGGGGAGGGGGGGTAAAGGCCGGAAGTCGGCGCGGGGCATCACGGGAGTTGTAGTCCGGGGGAAGGCGGGGCGCCAACGCTTCTCTATGGGCGCCGCGGGGCACGATGGGAGTTGTAGGCGCGCTGTAATGGCGCTCTACGGGCGCCGCGGGGCATGATGGGAGTTGTAGGTCCAAGGTAATGGCGCTCAATGGGTGCCGCGGGGCATGATGGGAGTTGTAGGCCCAGAACCGCCATAACGGCGTTTTTTGGGGGGTTCTCCAGGATTTGGGGAGATTTTGGGGGTGTCCCCCCCCTCCCCCGACCACCCTCCCTCAAGCAGAGAGTCTCCCGGACCAATCAGAGTCTTTATTGTGGGCGGGGCTGGCGCCGCCTTTAAATTAACATACAAAACCCGAAACAACCCCCCCCCCCCAAAAAAATAACACCCCAAAAAAAATCGCCCCAAAAGTGCCGCGCGGGGAGGGGCTGGACCCACCGGGGGAGGGGGAGCTTGGGGGGGAGGGTCAGGCCCGTGGGAGGGGGTTTGGGGGTCCCTAAGGGAGGCCTGGGGGGGTCTCCGGGGGCGGGAGCGCCCCAAGGTCGCGTTTCGGGGGGTTCCCGGGGCTGGAGGCATCTCGGGGGGCTTCGGGAGCACCTCAACTCTTGGTTGACCTTCACGACTCTTGGTTGACCTCTATGACACTTGGTTGACCCCCAAGACTCTTGGTTGACCTCCATAACTCTTGGTTGACCTCCATCACTCTTGGTTGTCCTCCACAACTCTTGGTTGACCATCATAACCCTTGGTTGACTTCCACCACTCTTGGTTGACCTCCACAACTCTTGGTTGACCCCCAAGACTCTTGGTTGACCCCCACAACTCCTGGTCAACCCCTACAATGCTTGGTTGACCCCCACGACTCTCGGTTGACCCCCAAGACTCTTGGTTGACCTCCATGACTCTCAGTTGACCTCCACAACTCTTGGTTGACCCCCACAACTCTTGGTTGATCTCCATGACTCTTGGTTGACCATCATAACCCTTGGTTGACCCCCACAACTCTTGGTTGACCTCCACAACTCTCAGTTGACCTCCATGACTCTTGGTTGACCCCCACAACTCTTGGTTGACCTCCATAACTCTTGGTTGACTTCCATGACTCCCGGTTGACCCCCACAACTCTTGGTTGACCCCCACAACTCTTGGTTGACCTCCACAACTCTTGGCTGACCCCCAAGACTCCTGGTCAACCCCCACAACTCCTGGTTGACCCCCGCGCCTCCCGGTTGACCTGAGGCACCTC